GCGCTACGCATACATGGTAGTAGCAACGCCTCTCCCTTTAGAATTACTAGGGCGCTACGACTAGCTACGTAGGGGTGGGGCTACGGTCTGCAGGACACTGCGCCAGTTCGGCGGTGAACGTCCGCGTATGGACCAAAGTGTGGCGATAATAGGCGAAGTACGCTAAGGATGGGCACAAGGCTGGGAAAAAAGTTGAAGACGCTGTGAAAGCGTATAAATCACATAGAAAAGTTTTTAACGAGAATATTAACACTATGGGCGCCACGCGCCACTTAAATGGCGCACGCGTAATTGCTCAGCAACGCCACGCGCCACTTTAGTGGCGTGGAATTATGTATTACGTGGATGGCGTGGCAATATTCCGCACATGCGTAATTCCGCGTACGCGGAGAAATTTCCGTAATACTACGCGGCGCGCAAAATGTTAATTAACTAAATTCCTCTCGGTTCCAACTTTTAACAACCAAAACTTTACTTATTAACGATTCTGTTTTACAATTCTGTAGTACATCCTGTGCTTCCTGGGTGTTGATTGCTGTAAAAATCTCTAATTGAATACCTGGGAGTTGCTCTGGATACACAAAAATGATTTGGGCAAGCTGGAACTAAACTGTCTTACAAATATGTGCACAGTATATAGCCTACTACAGATGTGCAAAATATTTGGGGAAATTCCCCTAACGCATTACTGATGTGAAAACCGTGCAATTCAGACGACTACGTTGACTCCTTTTGTTCGCTAAAAACTCCGCTTACTGCTTTAAGTCACCAGCAATTAAAAACCATGAAACTCCACTGTGTGTGTGTGTGTGTGTATGTGTGTGTACACGTGTGGGCATGTTATGCAAGTATGTTGTAAGCTCACCCATTCTCTTCGTCCTGCTCGATAAGTTTCATCATCTCCAGCTGCTGGAGGACGTGGCGGTGTACAGAGGCAAAGGCCAACACATACCTCCCAGGTCGTGTTCCGCGACGTTTCCGACCTGCGAGGAGACAATACTTACAAGGCAACAGCTAATAAGAGGGGAGGCCAGGCAGGGGTGCAAACTAACATTTTCCCCAACTGGCAGTAGGCTCTCAATTGTCTACTAGCCAAAAGCTTTCTCACAGCCAACTATTTATCGGAAAATATTTGACAGAATGCACGTTTAGGTGTTGTGAGGTTCCTTTACTCCTTCAAAAACAAATATCCTCACCACATGGTTGTCCAAGCAGTATATACAAAGCACACTGCGTGACACTTGTGTAACTACATAGTCGCATTTAGCGGCCACAACAAGATCAGACCACGCCCCATGCATCGCGTATTCTAGATCGCCAGTTCGCTGGGTCGGGACGGCGGAGACACTGGTGTGGCGCTGGTGTACTTATAGGCAACAGACTACATAAGAGGGTGCAGGCCAAGGAATGGCACAAACCCGCACTGCGTTGTCTGCCACCCTCCCCCTACGCATTTACGAGGGTATATAGCAGGGGAACAAGGCCAGATGTCTCCACAAATAAGTCGTCTGGAGGATAAGAGAGTCTGTGTGCACATACCTCCATACACGTTTCTGAGGCTCAAACACCACCCCCTCCTGAGTAGATTTGGCTGTCGCACGAACAGACGCTGACAGGTTGTGCGAAATAGACTGTAAAGACACAGACTGAAGGGACGCATTCCTTCTCACTGCTCGAACGTAGTACCAATCTTTGTCGTATGGAGCCAGCTCCTTGTGTTTGCTGTCTTGGCATAGTCAACATAATCCGGGAGCTTTATCTTTCCACTCCTGTATAAGCACGGTATTTACAAGCTGATAGCCAATGCGTGGGAGACTGTCATACACACGCTGCTAACGATGTAAAAGCGCATCCTGCTAGCCAAACCGCCGCTTGAGGGTCTAGCTAAGCCTCCCTACACGCACACAACAGAGCAACTAAGGAACTCTTACTTCTTTAGCCACTTCAGATAGGGGCCTTGATAAACTCGTGCGAAGGCACGTCCTTCACTGTCACTCCACCAACGGCATCTGCAACAAGGAAAAGTAACAGATTAGTTGTCACAACGTCGCCATTTTACCTTCCTTGTGAGAGAGAAACACGTGGCAACCTGCGCATTGCGTAAATCGCTCGTCTCTGATCGGTGTTGTGCTGCTGCTGTCGATCAGGGCTCGCTCCAGTCCAGGGCTGATTCATCGATCGTCGACTAGAATTCTGAAACACCACAGTTGGGTATCATGAGGTACGTACGTAACGTCTTGTACGCTTTATATCTGTTGGGGTATATACCTTACCTGTGCATTTTCGCTAGTGTTATGGTGCGCTTTATTGGATCTCCCTACATTTTCTGTGCAGGAACGCGGATGCTGGGGCGGAGGCAATCGACAGCGTGGCGAGGGCGAGACTCCTCATAGCCGAGAGGGAACAGGCGTCCAAGTCCGTCATGCGCACATGCAGTCACAGCTGGAGTGCCCAGTGTGCAGGGCCCACTTTGAAGAGCCTCGTGTCCTGGCCTGCTCGCACACCTACTGCAAGCACTGTCTGGAGAAAGCCGTCAAGAAAGCCAAGCTGGGCAAGAAGGGTGGGAGCATCGGCTGCCCAGAGTGTGGCTGTCCCTACAGAGTTCCCCAACGGCGACATCCACCAATGGCCTACAACTTTTCCATCCAGACGTCATGGACCTCATGAAATACTACAGCAGCCCCGAGCCGGTCCCTGTCGTTCCGTGTGGCAACTGTCGACGCTACGGTGACAAGGAGCTGGCCCCGGCCATTGCCCGCTGCTCGAGCTGCTCCACGTTTCTCTGGTCAGCAGTGCTTCCACCTCCACTCCATGGACGACTTTGCGAAACTGCACACCACCACTCTCGCTCACAGAGCGCCGCAGCAACGACTACTTCTTCAGTTGTCTCAGCGCCAGACGACACGGGGATACGCAATTGCCACGCACACAACTGGAAACCCTACACCCACTTCTGCGTCACCTGCAGCAAGGGGTGTGCGAGCGTTGCTTGCGACAGGACCACAAGTCACACGTGTACGCACGACCCGAGCATCTACGACCAGACTATGGCGAGTACACGGAGCAGTTGCACTCGCGCACTATGCGTCTCTTGCGTCAAACTGAGCGAGGCTATCCAGACGACGCAGGAGTTGACTCGGGGATCCAGTTGCTAGCGGCAACTCAGATCGAGGAGGTGGTGAGGACCCAGGAAGCGTTGAGCACGGCCCTCGACGAGCGGCAGGCATGCTGCTACAGGAACTGGAGGAACATAGACTGAAGCAGGCAGAGAAAGGGAGAGAACCTGCTGAGCACGAGGATGGGACCTCCGGATAGTTTGTGGAGTCATGTCTCTCCCTCTCTCTCTCTCTCTCTCTCGCTATTCTGTCGTTTGTGTGTATGTGTGTGTTCTCTGGGTGTGTAGTCGATGGCCCTAGTGCTAGGGCCACATGAGTGTTATGTGCTGTAACACTGTTGCTCTGCAGATCAGATTTTTTGGCTTGGTCCCTAAGCATTTTTGGCAAGCGGGAGCGACCCAACTGCAGGCAAAATTGAAGGCCTGTAACGACAAATACTGCTCCTTTCATATTCTGCATAATAACCTCTACATGCCAGATTGTGAGTGGCTCCTTGACCAGCAGGTGTGGGGAGGGGCCTAGGCTCCAAACCACGAACGTCTGGGCATGGTCAGCAGCACATACCAGTGCCAAAGCCTTGTGGGGATGAATCTCATTAGTTCAGAACCATAAGTGCTGCGCTCCTGGCTTCATAAACTCGTGATGCCAGAGAGAGAAGTTGCTGTATCCTCTACTGATGAGGGCCGAAACAGCTGTCCAGAGCTTCCCATCTTTTTTCTCTTGGGTCTAATACCTTCATTTGTGTACAAGGTTTTGGTCACACCTGAGAAAAAGTAACTTAGCCCGCAGACCAGGTACAGACGTAGGGGTATTACAAAGCTACAATCGGGAGTTTATTTTTTCAAGAACTCTTAAAAATAGTTCCTCGGTAGTACTTGAGCTCAGCAATACTCTCCCTAATGTCCTCCACAGCTCTATATAGAGGCAGATGATGTGAAATTAAAACTGTTAATATTACATATCAATATGATATACACCTGTGCTTCAGTTGTTTCTTTGGAGCTTTAGAAAACACTGCTGGATACCACCGCCTGCATGAAAAAGTGTCATTTGCACCCATGCCATAACTAATTTGTAGAATGTGCTAAATTGCGCATGGATGGGAAAAGAATAAAAAAGTTTCGGTATTATATACTCTTCACAAACAACCATGTACGTACATACATACATACCTGCAGAGTTCTTTCACACTGCTGACATCGACAATCCTATAGTGTAGGTGCTGCATGAGCCGCGGCATGTACTTGTCGAGGAACCTCTTGTCCATGTGGATGGTGTTCCCGGCCAGGGGGCAGCGGCCAGCCGGGACATTCTGCTTCACAAACTCCAGCATCTGCTCCTCTGCCTCTCCAAGACCCACTCTTGAGCACCGACTGGCCTCTGTTAGCCCTGACTGCACACACACACACACACACATCAATATGACGTTTATCCACAAATAGAGCAGGAAATTTCGAGTGAGAAAAATAAACCTTCGCGCGGTTTATTGCAGTCTTATATAGAAAGTTTTCTGCGTGAAATTTTGTAGGCATGGATTGCAGAACAGTAATTCCGCGAAATTTTATCTGCAAGATTCACTTTTTGACAATGAAAATTCTTCTCCCTTGCATGTCTCCCCCGCTATTGGCGGTATGTGGGTGAATGTGGTGATAGGATAATTGTACAAAATGCATTCAAATAACAAGGGGTATGTTATCCAATGGTGTCCCAAGTTCAACCCAATGAGTACATATGTACGTACTATCTACCTCTCCGTGGTGAGTGACGCACCAGTCGTTCATTGAGCCCAGGACCTCATCTGACTGGTGGATGATAATGTCTGGACCCTGCCCCAGGCAGAGAGAGAAACAAGTGGTCTCCAGCACAGTGTGGGAATTGAGAAATGTCTCTATTTGTAAGCCACTAATCAAGGACCTTGTGAGAGCATGCTAGTACGCAGTCTTTATTATTTATGGTGAGAGACACAAACCTCTGCCAAAACATCGAGTTCTTTATCAGTGATGACACAGGCTATCTCCAGTATTTGATCCTTACTGACATCCAGGCCTGAAAAATTGAACACCTCGTTCCCAAACACACAGTTTTGGAATTTGATACCTGCATACCTGTCATCTATGGTCATTGTATTTCCAGGTGGAGATGGGAAAAGGCATTGGTAAACAGAGCACCATTGCCAACAATGAGTAGATTATAGCTGAGGAAAAATGTATAATACCTCGAGGTCAACCCAGACCAGCCTCTCCGTCTTCCCGCCCATTATGAACTTGCTCTCAGGAGTGCGCACAGGTCTCCACCGTGGTATGAATTTTCTACGAGACGACAGGAGAAGGTCAGTAGCCAACGACGGTGAGACGTAGAAAAGCGTTTCACCTCCAAAACTGCAGCAACCGGGAGGTCATTCCAAATGGAGCGCCCCAACAACGTCGGTGCGCTTCATTTAGAGAAAACTTGCACAACTCGCAGAACACGTTTTCGGCCAGACAGCGGCCTAGCTAGTACAGTGGAAAGAGAAGGAGATGCCAGTGGAATGTACGCTCTGCCATCAGCGCCCGGCAGTCCTCAAGAGGCCCAAGACGAGTCAGGCAGCCTGCAAGGAGTGTTTCTTCCAGGCAGTTGAGACGGAAGTCCACCAGACAATCGTGACCCACGGCCTCTTCACGCGAGGCGATGTGGTAGCCATCGGAGCGTCGGGCGGGAAGGACTCCACGGTGCTGGCCTACCTCATGAAGACCCTCAACGAGCGCCACGACTACGGGCTGGACCTTTTCTTGCTCTCCATCGACGAGGGGATCACTGGCTACCGAGACGACTCCCTCGAGACCGTCCGGAGAAACGAGCGTCAGTACGGGATCCCTCTGAAGATTCTCTCCTACCAGGACCTCTACGGCTGGACCATGGACCGCATCGTGGCGACCATCGGCCGCCGGAACAACTGCACGTTCTGCGGGGTGTTTCGTCGACAGGCTCTGGATCGTGGAGCGGCCATGCTGGGAGTTGACAAGATCGTGACGGGACACAACGCCGACGACATTGCCGAGACGGTCCTCATGAATATCCTGCGTGGAGACGTGGCTCGTCTGAGGCGCTGCACGGCCATCACCACCAGTAGCGAGGGAGCCATCCCTCGCTCCAAGCCCTTCAAATACACCTACGAGAAGGAAATTGTAATGTACGCCTACTTCAAGAAGCTCGACTACTTCTCCACTGAGTGTGTCTACTCTCCCAACGCCTACCGTGGCCATGCACGGACCTACCTCAAAGACCTGGAGAGAATAAGACCCAGCACCATCATTGACATTATTCACTCGGGAGACAGTCTCGCCGTGAAGGGGGATGTAAAGATGCCGGTTCAGGGGACGTGTTCTCGCTGTGGCTACATCTCCAGTCAGATCCTATGCAAGGCTTGTGTTCTCCTGGAGGGGCTCAATAGAGGTCTACCACGAGTAGGCATTGGGAAGGCCACTGGTGGGAACATGAGTGCAATCGTCAAGAAGTATGGACTGAGGGAGGAAGAGGAGGAGGAGAAGGGAGAGGATGGGAGGAGGCATCATGGAGGCGGAGAAGGGGAGGGTATGGAGAGAAGGAAGGGAGAGATGGGTGGGTGTGGGAGCTGTACGTGTGACTCTAAGAAGAGGACTTGTCGTGATCCATCTACATTGCTTGATGTGACTAGGCCTGACAGGCCTGAGTTTTGACTTTCTCATTCTGCATATTATATTGTCGTTGTTTTATTTAACATTTCACTTTTAACACAGTATGATTTTTGCTTTGCAGTGTGTAGATCCTCTGAGCAAGTATTTTTTTCAAGTGCTCTAGAGTTTCTGTGGGGAAGTCATCAGAGGTGCTAGCCCCTGAACTTGACAGGGATGATTGGATCGAGTCGGGAACAGTGGTGGCAGAGTGCAGGTGGTCAGCCGTTGAGCTGTTGTCACTGGGTAGACCATTTCTCACCACATAATCCAGACAAGAGTAGATAAACTTGTATTGCACCTAGACAGTAGCATGTGTGCATGGAGTAGAAAAACTTTAATGAATTCAGATAATGTTACACTTGGGTCTCTTTAGTTACTATAATAGTCTCGTTTACCCCGACTGCGCGTGCACTTATTTTTTGGACGTGGAAAATGTGTCGCAATTTGGGACCAAGGAAGATCAAAAAACACCCTAGCAGTAGGATTGTGACTGGTGAGACATTGGGACTAAGGAAGATGAACTTTTACAAAAAAACCACCCTAGCAGTAGGATTTTTGAACGTGAGACATTGAAGTGGCTTTGGCTTTTATCAGACAATTTGTGTGAGAGAGGGCCTGGGAATGAGGTTTTCGGCATGCACAATCATCACAGCACTGCTGAGTCCCACCTCATTCTGGACCATCCCTGGTCGACATCTCCTGAGCTCCCTGACAGTCTGCAGTACATTTACACTTTGGGCCCCAGCCCTGACCTGCCTCAACAGTCTGTCAACAGCCAGCAGTCCCTGTCCGACCCAGCCCCGCAGTGCAGTGGACCAGCAGTGGCCGCGAGTGTTGCTGTGGTGCATGAGGAGGGGAGGGGGTGAGCTGTGTGTATGTGGTGGAGGAGAGAGACAGAGGAAGAGGGGACTCCACTGTCAGGCCAGTCTGTGTAGTGATAATGGTGGACTGTGAGTGGTGGGTCTTCCTCCTGGGAAACACAGGGGGACAGAGAAGAAATCTTTCAAAAATTATTATGGGGCTCAATAATTTTACACAAGAACAGGTAAAATTTAACTTACGGAAGTGGTTCTAAAATTATTCCTTCATGCCCATTGATATACGTCAAGATATCGTTTTGTGATAGAGCATAGCTACTTAAAAAGAAGACACTACTCATTAGTAGGTGACACTTACTTGGTCTTGGTAGTGGGTTATCTCTTCCACAGTGAAGACTCTGTGTTGCCAGTGGCTCTGTAGCTCACTGGTCTTGAGTATCACCCTCAGCTCTACACCAATCCTACTGCTGTCGACAGTCAGAACCTCCCCAACACTGGTTGGCCAGTACTGCACACATTTCTGGGAGGAAAAATGTCAGGTTCACAGAGACTGCATGCTATAAGGTAACCCCTATTGACTAACGCTGCAACTACTAAAGCACCAATGAGAACGCAAGAGCTTTGTGGGCTGACTGCTATGACTGCCGTTACATGTCTGTGCCTCTTGAGAGACTGATGAGCTTGTAGTGCTAACCTCGTTTCCAGCTTCAGTGAGGGCAGTGATCATGATAATCACTCCAACCCTGTGTTCCCACACCATTCGCCACATGTCACACACCGTGTACTGCAGTGGAGCTGCTCAATACAGCGTAAACCTCAACATGATAAAAAATTCTGATATATTGGAGGAAAGCATTACCCTGAGCAGCAATGTATGTCCTCGGTCTCCCATCTTCTCCCTGTGGCAATGACTGCTATCATAATATATTATCTTTCAAATAGATTAGCTATTAGCTCTCACACCAATCCAACTTGCATTGACATAGTCTGGTCCATCTTCTCCCGTGTTCTCTAGCATCACTCTACCGTCATCATCTGCATTTCCAGGTTACCAAAACTATTATACCATAATGCTGCAGTATAATTGATATAAAACCCATCCACCATATATACCACTCTCACACATTGCTAGCCAGGAGGTGGCCACGATTTTATACTGTGGTCACTGACATGATATTATGACAGTGCTGTAGCGGTTCTTGGCTCTGTTGAAAGGCTTGAGTCCCTCACTTGCCTTCAACTTCGCCTCTTCCTCCACATCCTATACAGTGTGTTTGGCACATCCATACATTAAGCTATGCTATAATATAGTGTGACGTGTAGAGCTAGATAGATTGTCTCACGAAAACTTTTAAACATAAAACCTGGAAGTATAATAGTACATATAATGCTGCAGGTGGCAGCTATAGCACTAGGGCCATAGACCACGCACCCAGAGCAATGGGCGGAACCGTTAACAAACGAACACACACACCACCGAACCTGGAATTCTTTCTTGAAGAGATTGTCATTGTTGGCCGAAAGCCACCTCACCATGTTGCCCAATGAGCTCACCTTTACAACATGAGACAAATCTGATGGTGGAGGCATGGAAGAATCTTCCTACCACCAGAATTCTAGGCTACTATGCAAAATTTGGGCTTACCTTTGCATTCAGCATCAATCCTTGGTCTTATTACTCTGTTCTCTTCCATCATCATTGATATATAGCACAAATCTAGGTTGACCAAATTCTGGCTGGGTATATAGCTAGGCAGCTACAATCTGGCTTGGCAGAAGAGACCCATGAGTTATAACTATATATAGGTGTGAAAATGCCACTTGGGATTATGAATGGACTGGCATAAGCATGCTATTGTTGTTAGCATGTGTGAATCCACCGCTCTCTCAGAAATGGCTTCCCTTTCTTTACATTGTAACAGGCTACGTCGCTTCGCGTCACTTGCCCATGGAAACACCATGGCCACCCCCCTCCCCCCGTCATCCCGGTATGCCCTTCTATTATTACACACGGTATGGCAAGGCTTTACCCAATATGGGGGCAGAGCATGTCCACGAACTAGCCCCATCTGCACGTTTTATTATTAATTGACAATCAAGCAATGTCCCCTAAACAAGTCACTAATGAATTTTCCCTATGAATGTACATGCAGGCCAAGAACTCTATGGCTACACTATTAGCACGAGACGCAGCTGGTTCGATTATCACCTGGATCACTGTGTATAGCGTGATAAAAAATTAATGTGTTATGTTACTCTACATTCAAAACCAGCACACACACAATGAGTCAGTTATATACATTTATGCTACTCTCGGAAGTTATCATAGTTCTTGTCTTGAAAGGATGTGAGGAACTCCAGCAAAAGCTGGTGAATCAACTTGTAGCACTCCTGAAAGAGAGAAATATAGCTTTACTGAACAGTTCTTTATGATATGTTTGATTTGTGCTTTAACAGTAGGTTTTGAAATAGAGGCTTGAAAACTGTAACTAACTTCTTGTGGTTGACTTACAGCGTTGTGCACGATGCCCATGCGTTGAGTGCGTGCTGCCTTGATCCCCTGGAAGACGTCGAGAACGTGTTCAGTCTTGAGTCTCTCCAGCTGAGAGTACAGCACCACAAACACTCCACTCGCCCCACTACCATTACTGCACAAGGAGTTGGAGATACATCGTCATACACTAATAATCATTCGTCGACAATACATAATTATATCTCGATTATGAGTCACAAATACATCCAAAAAGATGATTACGTTTGATGTAAAGTACTCTCATGCTGTGCGATTTCACGTCAATTACGATGCTACTCTATGAAAGCTGTGTTATATACCAGTAATCACTTCCATGAGGGGCTACAGATCTCCAAGAAGACAATTACAGAAGAATCGTTTGCCAGCAAACTTACGAGCACATGACAGTGACAGGTTTGTTCCCAGTGGACCTCTGTTTCTTGAGAACTCTGTCCACCAGGTCCAGGAGGAGGCTGGGCTGGGAGGGGAGGCCATCCCGAGGCCAGCCTCGCAAGTGGAACTGAGTCACTGTTCTCACTTCCTGCAGGGGCTATAAAACACCAGTATAATTTTACAGCAGACATCTATCTCACAGTTGAAGATGTGGTATATACGGGTTTAACTTCACTCACAGATGCTACTGAACCGTTGCGGTAGATTTCGAATGCTCTGGTGCAGAGAGTATCGTCTACCCCATCCTCTGTCTTGCTGCTAACTGTGAGACTGCCGTACACCTGTTTCTTCTGTGGCTCTGGCCAGTATTGAGCCTACAAAGAAAAAACATCGGGCATAAGATATTAGAATTCTGCCTAATGTCTCTGTTGCTTGCATCTTACAGTGTTCTCTAATATGCGGGACAAGTACAGGACTATACTTACACGAAAAAGTCACGATAGTAGGGGGGTGGGGTGAAGCACAAAGGTATATATTATGGTGCAATCTGTCACATGCTAGCTATACCATGTCATCTTGTAGGTCGTTTAGCATCACAATGGTCTTGCTGCCAGACTCCCACACCATCCTCCACAGGTCATTCACTGTGTTATCCAGCGGAGCCTGGGTCACCATGAAGGCATTGGACTGCCTGTAGCCCTACAACAACAACAACAACAACAACAACAAGAACGACAACGTCAACAACACACGATTAGACCATTGCCCTCCTTTGCCATGTGCTTCTCTTGTCATCAACTATATACCTCAGTTAGCCGTCATTCATTACTGTGTGCCTCATGTGCATTCAGTTTTCCTTACATTCTTGATGATGCATGTTGGTGCTGCAACTCACATTGATCCAACTGCCATTGATGTAGTCTGAGCCTGGTTGACCTGTCAGCCTCAGACACACTCTCTGGAAATCATCTGCACAGCAAGAAACATAAAACTTAGCACACGGCGAGTGCAGTGGGATTAACTGACAGGGCAACATGTCGGGATATCTGTTTTTGCCCATATTCACAATCCTCTGGGAAATCTCGACGTCCTTCTTCTGTGGCTGACGTGTCACCTGCTCCAACAGCTGTGGTGAAATAGAGAGTACTGATAGATCATAATAAACTGTACAAAACCTTGTTTCATTACTGATCTACAGGCTATGATACACCATGCAACTAGAGGTGTGTGAGACAAAGTTGCATGCAACATTTTGGTAACTATGATGCGCATGTTGCCCGCAATTAAAAAAATCCATGCAACTTTGTTGCACTGTCTATCATACCTTTGCATTTGAAGTTGAATGCAAATTTCTCTAACGCATCGTGTATCATGGCCTGAAACAGTTATGCAATCCTTGCCTCAAATTGCTTCTGAAATCCTGTGGCCTCTGTTTCAGTATCAGGAGCACCGAGCCTCTTCATGGCGATTCGGAGGTTCATGGCTGATATCTCAGTCTTCCCACATGTGATCAGCTCCTCCAGGGCATCGTGGATGAAGGTGTACTGTGCCTACATGGACATAGTGTAAAAATATGCACGAGGAGGATTAGGTACCTATGATTCACATTGAACAGCAGAGAGCTAAGAAAGAAACACTGTTATACCTTAGCTATATTATTGCACTACACGTACCTCTATGCTAACCAGAAATGATAATGGTACCTTCCCTACCTCAGTCTGGACCATGCTGCAGCGCTGTCTCCTCAGCTTCAAGATGGAGTGGTAGACATTGATACCAGCCTGGGCCTCTAGTACTTGGAGCATGATGTCGAGGACAATCAATGTCCCTGTCCGACCCACTCCGGCACTGCAGTGAACGAGGAGGGGTGCCGGGTCTGAGGGGAAGTGGGACTTGCGGACGTTCCGAATGAATCCCAGGAGGGCTGTGGCATAGCGAGGGACTCCGTGGTCTGGCCATGACTGGAAGTAGTAGTGGACTATGTCTCTCTTCTCTTCTCCCTGCATTGGGAGACATGATGACCTGCTACTGACTAGAGAGTTGCAATCATAACTTTGAGAAGTTCTATGACAGCAAGCTATATACATAGAGATCTGATCCAGTTCTCATATCATGTAGCCTTACCCCTGTTGGCATAGCTACATAGCTACATACAGACATACAGGCTGATCTCTATTATCAACCAGCAATGAATCTGGCACCTTGCTATAATCTCATTTGAACAAAAGCAGCTTCCAATAGCAATGACTAAGGAACCAATGACTAAGGAACACTGCTGCTTGCAGGACATTGTAATACTGGACTATAAGTGTTAGCTATGTATATATACACAAATCCATGTATATACCTTCTTAATTCCACCAAACAGTTTAATGTCAATCACAAAGAATTTGGGATGGTATTAAGCTATCATTTCAACTTACAAAGTAGATAGTAGTTTTCCTCAGTTCATAGTCAGCAAAAGGAACGACTTCATTCAGCAATACAATTAGTCGATCGTTATCCACACTGACTGTCTCTCCAACTCTCTTTGGCCAGTACTGCTCACATTTCACCTGGAGCCGTCCAAAACATCACACTGAGCCTTAACTACCACCACAATCCTATACATCCACAGTGCTACACCATTTTATATAAATTATAATATAGCACTGCCACACTCTGTGATCCTACCACCTCACTCTAAGTGTTGCTCGCTCTAAGTGTAGCTCACTCTAAGTGTTGCTCACTGTAGGTGTTGCTCACTGTAGGTGTTGCTCACTCTAAGTATTGCTCGCTCTAAGTGTTGCTTGCTCTAGTGTTCTACCTACCCTGTTGGCCTCCACTGTCTTGGTGAGCATGACAATGGTGGGTATCTTGAGCTCCCAGACCATGCGCCAGAAGTCACCAATTGTCTCTGGCAAGGGTCCTAGTAACATGATGTCGGCATGAATACGATCAAGTACTGGTTCCAGAGTATCATTATACCTTGGCAAGTCACGTAGGATTTCTCTTTCCTATAACCCTGCAAATTTCAAATACAATTTCAACCTGCTTGTTGCATAGTGGTATTTATCTTGACAACTCACGTTGATCCAGCTTGCATTAATGTAGTCTGACTGTTTCTTGTGGGCGGAGGTAAGAATGACGCGGGTAGCATCATCTGTACAGAAACAGTTACACGTCAACCAGAGTATGTTTTTGCACGGATTATTCTCTCACTACATACAACCATATGTAAGGAATCTTTGTTGTGCTATGTAAAGCATGCATTTACTTTCAATCCAAACATCATACATGCACACAAGTCTAAAGAGGGCACCAGTTTTGTTTAGCGTTTGCGTGTATGCGTGTTTTTATCAAACGGTTTCACTGACATGGCAGGATGTTCTGGTAGCGGTTCTTGTCCATGTTCTTGTCCAGCTGGGAGGTGTGGCAGGTATGGAGGTCGGACTGTGTGCCTGGAGGGCAGAAAACTGCAGGCTGAAGCCCCTGTCCGCATCTCTGTGCAGCTCCTTCACATAGGCTGAAAACTCCTGTGGTGGCACATCAGCAATAGCCTCGTGAACTGTGAGGGAATATAAGGTGGACAGATTTTCACGGTAGCTGTAAAAGTTGTACATACCAGAAGCAGTAGGTGACAGGGACCCAGCAGAATACCGATCTACAGTCAATAGTACCATTGGTCAACCTCGTTGTATAAGAGCTTGGATTTTTCACTGTCTTACCTTTTGTTGTAGACAGTCCATCGTAGTCGTTGTGACTCGAGTGTATCACGTTGGAATTGAACTCTATGTAGGAGTGGTCAATGGCAGTGCTTCTGAACAACAGTAGCCTCTTCCTCCTCATGTTGAAGTAGTTGAATACTATCAGGCTATAGGGATGAAAGTATACACACACACACATTGGTGTTGCAGTGAAGAAATCACATTTCGCTTGTTTATCCCTCCTTGATGTATAATTATAGCTACCATCCCTCCACAGTTTTCTAGAAGAGACAGCGCTGGTTTGTAGGTGGCATATATATACTCACCAGATAATTGCGATGAAAATGACAGCAATTAAGGACCCACATACGGCTCCAGCTATAGCTGCTGATCTATCTCCTGGAGTGCTGCCTCTCTCTGTGATGGTGTACATTATGCAGAACAAACAAATACTGTTTAGCGGGGAACTTGTTACGAAAACTCAGCAAATGTTTTCCTCAAGATAAATGAACAGTGAAAATAACTGTAGCTCAGTGTTTATGGTTAGTCCTTTGTTCATCACTGTGTACACAGTCCTAGCTATCTACCTCAAGGGCCACAAACATATCCACTCCAGCTATTACACGGCCTGGCTATCTACCATAGTCACATGTTTTAACTCTGTACAACCTAAGCACCTTAATGTATGATTCTGTCCCCGTAGGTGTTACACACACATTATATCACTCACCCTGCATGTCATTGTCAATGATGGTAATGGTCACAGTCTCATTGGAGACCATTGGCGTGAGCATGCCCTCAGTCTTCATCATCATCCAACCACTACCAGCACCACCACTGCCGTCACCACCCATCGTACTACAGCCAGCCAGGTCTGGGATCAGCTCAGTGAACACAACCTCAAAAGTCTCGTCGGGTTCAGGCACATTGTCGTCCTCGATGGCGACCATCACACAGTGATGACCACCGGCCATCACATTCAGTGTTGTGTTCACAGTCTTATAGTCCACGCCTTCTTCTGCAGAGCGAAATTATGCCATTACTTTCATCTAAAAGTAGTTGTGGTGGTACATAATTATAGCTACTATACCAGCTTCTTTCTCCTGTGAGTGTACACTGAGACATATAGCGTCATCTGTTTCCAAGCACACCATGACATTGCCACTGTCCTCTTGCACTTCCATTGATGAACTGTCCAGAGTGATCATGCCTACATATCGGGAAAACAGAAGCATCATGAGATTTGGGTTAGCTATAGCTAAGATCCCTGTCTGAAAGTTACAAGGTAGCTACAACTAGCTATTAGTGGTTGAGAAAGAGTGAGCTACAGCAAAAACTTTATAATGTCTTAGTCTTGTGACAAGAATCATGGCTCCAATAGATAAGAATGACACTACAGCCCCACATCATGCAGTAGCTAGTCCCCTGACCTGCAGAGGTGAAGCAGGAGAAGGCTGATATCCACAGGAACAGCAATGGCCACAGACACTCCAGCAGTACCATCTTAATCTCTCAGCTATACTAGCTAGCTACACACCTTCCAGTAATGACAAACTGTTAGTTTCCTAGATACTGCAGTGGCAGGGGTGATTGTCTGTATTCTGTTTACATCCAGCTAGTTAGGATTGCCTCTCACAAAGAATTTGCAGCAACTGACACTTACCACTGAATATACAGGAAAGCCTGTATTGCAAATAGCTGAGTGTATTGCGCATTACTATAACTTTCAACTTCAGCAAAGTCCAAAGAAGGAAAGCCTTTGTTAACACAACTTACAATAAACAACGGCATTGGGTTGTCATAAGGGAAATGTCTGTGCCAATACTGAGTTTGTGCAACTAGACAAATATAGATAACTCAAGGAAACAAACACACACACAGCATAGATATTTTTGGCAATGACCATAAGGAATTTTGTGACTAGCCAAAATCCCGGTACGGTTATCTTCAAGAACCAACTATGCACGAGGAATAATGAATCACGACATGTGTCATCCATAGGTTGAGATATATTTTGTGAGCTACACCAATTCTAGTAAATTAATCGTTGCTCTTCAAGAACCTATGACAGAATGTGATATGATGGGTCAGTGCACGAATCAATGCGATCAGATATTAGTCATCAAGACTGAGACCAAACTGCCGATAGAGCTCAGAAACAGTCGTGCCTTGGACTTCAGCCAGTTTGCCCAGCAGGAGCTGCCCGGCATCTTTGATCTCATTGTACTCATGGAGGTGCTCAATGTACTGCTGGAGCTCGTCCTCACTGTACTCCTGAGACAGTTCCTCAATCTCAGCCTCGTTAGCTCGTATCTGCTCCTTGAGTCTTGCTATATCAGCTCTGAGGCTCTCCTCAGTCTCTGCCGTCACTCTGACTGTGTTGGATTGAGTGCTGCGTGACCGAACGGGCGTGAGGGAATATGGCTTATGTCTCGCCGAGCCAGTGACACCTGAGCTGGGTGGTGTGGCCTTGATTGACTGCTGTGCTGTTGGGATTTTACTACTAGAGCTGTTGCCTGTTGGTGTACTGACAGAGGTAGTGTCTGTGGATGAGGTGGGTGATGTTCTGAGAGGAGACTTGAAGGCTGCATGGACTTTAGAGGAGGAGGCTGAGAGTCTTCGATGAGGTGGTCTGAAGGTAGTTCTCTGGGCTGGGTCTCTGGCTGGAGTAGTCACTGCTCCTGTGAGGGGATCTGGGCCCGCAGTGGATGTAGGAGAGGGCAACACTTCAAGACCTGCAGCGCTCTCTTGGCCACTCATCATGCGCGCTTACTTCTGAGCTGGGATTTCTGCGCAGGTGTATGACGTAACCATATTTCTCCGTAATCTCCGAAAAAAACGGCCTTGTGACGTGGCGTCCAGCGTGGCGACCGAAGCTAGTGCAGGGCGCAGTCAGTGCTTGCAGCTATATAGCATCGTTTGGTGAGCCGTTGCCCGTTTTGCTCCTCATCGCCTGTGTTGGAAGATCGCTGGGAAGTAGCGAGGAAAACCATGTTGATAAAGTTTGAAAGCAAATCTCATCGGGTCAAAGGTGAGCTTTCGTTCCCCTCTCTAAGTTTCAACTCTAGCAAACAACTGCTAAAGAGCATCTACACACTTCCCTTTTCTCCTGAGTTTCGTGGTTACCCAATACCCTAGAGCGAACACGAAGTTTTTGTAGTGGGCAATAATTAGGAATATGCTACGTCTTCCCCCAGGACTGTCGTTCCATCCGTCTCGACCCTGGATCTTGGCCAGTCTCCACAATGGAGTCATCCAGCTCTGGGACTACCGCATGTGCACACTCATCGACAGATACGATGAACACGACGGTAAATTGTGTGCATGTTCAGAAAACTTTGAAAACTTCCTCTGTATGTCTCAACAAGTGTGTGTATGTGTGTTTTTCATTATAGTCGGACTGACTGATAAATGTCTGTCACAGCTTCCTTTGCTGTGTTCTCTAACTCCTTAGTAATAAAACTATGGGATAAAATGTTGAATGGATTATAGTACAACGTGCAAGTTTCCTATGTCAATGTTTTGGACGAGGACAGGCAGTCTGAGAACGTTTTTGGGCAAAATTCTCCTTTGCTATTAAACGAAAGTATTTTCCTCTAAGTTTCACGTTATACAGTCGTTGCCTATAATGCAGCAGTTCACCTCGCAATATCTACTGATGTGTACATCATGGTCTATTGTTACATGTACATGTACACACATAAGCGTGTTATTGCAATTTGCAGGTCCAGTGAGAGGGATAGACTTCCACAGCAACCAGCCACTGTTTGTGTCTGGTGGAGACGACTACAAGATCAAGGTTCGTACAGTGGAGCCTGGACACCAATGGGACAGGGGGAAATTCCCATAATTATTGGTAGTGTCTTTGTTTCAGGGATTCAATATAAACTGCTCTTGGGGACTAATATGTAGGCAATATCTCAGGAGAGTCCTCGAGATTGGTTCCACATGAATCAGTGGCGATTTCATCTTTACATGCATGTGTGTGCAATGAACAGATACCTGCAGACATTCACTAGTGTGTAAAGATGTTTACTGTACTAGGTTGCATGTTTTTTTGCTAATGACGTTATTCTGCAGGTGTGGAACTACAAGCAGAAGCGCTGTCTCTTCACTCTGCTCGGTCATCTCGACTACATCCGTACCACCTTCTTCCATAAGGTGCGTGTGGGGATCTGTGTGTGATTGTGTACCAGCGTGTGTCTGTAGTTTTTATTTTTTTTTATGGGGGGTACGGATGTCGACATCTCCAAGAAAGGTGTATCGTGTAATAATTTTTTTGCACATGTAGCTACAAGTCGAATACAATGTTTTTGTTCTTTTATCCTAAAGCTATTTCCCCGTTTGTTTTCATGTTCAGTAGTCTTGTGTTATTGTTTTACTCATTCTTTTTACTTAAGAAAATCCAATGTAAGTTTTTCCGGTTCACTTCCGTGTTTTTATTTTCACTGTTGTACATATATAGGAGTATCCGTGGGTTATCAGTGCGTCGGACGACCAGACCATTCGCATCTGGAACTGGCAGTCTCGAACCTGCATCTCGTAAGATGTTATTCTTAGCACCTCTATAGCTACTATATAGGAGAATAATATCGCAGTCACAAAATACATAGTACCTGCAAGTGTTTTGAGGACAGGCTGCCAATAGTGAATTCCAATTGACACACACTTTCGTGTAATGCATGCATGGTTCGTGTGAAGCGACATCACTGACATGTGGAATTGTATATGTACATACAGTGTATGTGCATACAGTGTATGTACATACAGTGTATGTACATGAATGAAAGCCCCTTTGGTCTCACTTCTAACCCTGTACTTACATGTGAATTGTGCCTGCTATTAGCCCTGTGTTGTCATTCCTGCTGCAGTGTTCTGACGGGGCACAACCACTATGTGATGTGTGCCCAGTTCCATGCCACGGAAGACCTGGTGGCCTCAGCCTCTCTCGACCAGACCATCCGAATCTGGGACATCTCTGGTTAGTCTCCTCTCCCCCCTCACTTCCTCCAGGGTTGATGCTCTGTGGTATAGTCTGCATTCCTGAGTTGCCACTACCAGATGCTGCTGTGTGTGTATGTATATAGTGTGGCCTCTTAATAAAAGAGCACCTTGGTGCATCCAACCCCTGCCACTTTTAAAGATTGTCCTTTATTAGGGGGTTTGGGGGTGTAACCCTTATTGCAGGTGCTTGTGCTAAAGAGTCTAAAGAAGCTTCATTAATCAACCCTCGATCGGCATGCATTAGCAGCAAGGTTTAAAAATACTCGGTTTTTCTGTGTGTGTGTGTGTCTTGCCACGTTTATGCCACCACCACATGTGCCTCTACAGGTCTGCGTAAGAAGACGGTGGCCCCGGGAGCTAGTGGTCTGGACGACCATCTCCGGAGCTCTGGGTCCACCGACCTGTTTGGCTCTGCTGAGTGCCATTGTCAACATCTCCTCGAGGTCTGACACTTGCCACTCACAACTACATCTATATACTACTGTGTGTATATACAGTTTTTTAACAGGGTTGTGATCATTAGAAGTTGCCTGTGCTATTTTCTTCAGTTTATCTGTACCATTGTTGTCATGTACCATGATCCTTTTGAGGTTTTAGCAGTGTGTTCTTGAGTTAGCTCACCATGCAGCAGATGACCACACTCGCATTAGGAAATAGAATTAACATACAGTACAATATAGTGGTGGATTTAAAATGTTGTTTGAGAATGTGTACGAAGTGTACCTGTTGATTGTGGTGTTTGTTAGGGACACGACCGAGGAGTCACTGGGTCTCCTTCCACCCAAACCCTCCCTCTCCTGGTCTCGGGCCTCTGACGACAGACAGATCAAACTGGTGGAGGATGAACGGTCTGCCACATATATACATACACCACTGTGTACATACATAGTGCCGTACAATTTGTGGTGCATGCTATTCAGCACCAATTTTCAAGGACTCAAGCATATGGGGTCAAATGATAACCTCTCAATTTTTGATTGTGAGCTGTACCTCCTACTCCCTCAGAAAAATACCCTGTTTTATGTTAATGATGTGTTAATGGACCCTGGGTCCCTGTAAATGTTGAAGCAGGCTTTTAATGAACGGTCTGCCACATACATACACCACCGTGTACATAGTGCTGTACAATTTGCGTGCATGCTATTCAGCACCAATTTTTCAAGGGGAAACTCAAGCATATGGGGGTCAAAAGATTACTCTCAATTTTTGATTGTCCTCAGAAAATACCCTGTTTTATGTTAATTGTATGTGAATAATGGACTCTGGGTCCCTGTAAATGTTGAAGCAGACTTTTATGACGAGCTATGCATGTTTGATCAGTTATACAATCTTGTATACATGAATGTTACTGTAGCAGTGTTACCCTGTGATTGTTCTGCTGTCTCTTGCTGCCCATGTCCCCGAACCCAGATCCAAGGCATGTGGAGTGGACACCTTAGAGGTCACTATAACAACGTGTCTTGTGCCATGTTCTCACCCGAGACATGAGGAGCTCATCGTCAGCACCTCTGAGGACGCAGCATCCGACTTCTGGGACCCAGAATCACCAAACGTGTCTGTGGCTTCTATATGATACAACTCCCTACCATCTGTAGTTTTTGATTGAGGTCTGTCATGTGTGCTCAAGTGGGGAGATTGTATCTGAAAAGTTAAGGTTCAGCGGTAATGTCCTGCCATATATTATGTGTAGTGAACCAAAGGACGTAATTCTTTTTGGTCTTTGGTGTGTATCACAGCTTTTCTATCTTAGTGGTCGAGTAGCCTTCTTTTTTCCGCACTTACGTATTGTACGTGTCTTAGCACTGTGTGTTAGTAGTTGTGGTGAGTCTGTTATTGTGTATGTGTATATATGGTGTCCTGTTCAGATCTGTATCCACACGTTCGCTCGGGACTCTGACAGGCTTCTGGATAGTAGCTGGCCGCTGCCCACCCCACTCTCACTGTCTTTGTGCAGCAGGTATATATATAACAGTGGTAACTGTACAGTGTTGTGTGTGCCTTCAGAATGCTGTACACCATTGCGACTGTGACAGTTCTGAATACTGTGTATTGAGATTTTGAAGGTGGACTCTTATTTAAGGACTGTTGATATTTTGTGAATCCATAGTATGGTGATGTCTCACTGTCCAGGTCACGACATGGATGATGGGGTTCAAGTATGAGCGTGGAGCGACCGGCCGTCACCGTCCACACAGACACACTCTACTATGTCAGATAGTTCCTGAGGAAATACGAGTTGGCACTCGCAAGATGTCCTGTCATGGCCATTAGGAGGTGTGAAGTGTATTCCTATTCATGAGTGTCGTAATTCCATTATGGAACCGTAGGAGTACGCAGGTGTGTAGTAGCTCACATAGTAACCAATGAGTGATCCTAGCTCCATCTGTGATTGATATGGGCCCTGTCATGATTGCCACGGGCTGGAGCTCATATCGTGCGTGCTGCCTCCGCATCTCTGGCGGTACAACGCAGCCGAGAGGCCGTCCTCCTCTGCTCTGTACGTGTACACACTGACCACCACTACTGTCCCCTTTAGGCACAGTGTTTTGTGTTTTTCGTATTGTGTGCATAGGCACCTACTGTTTTTGTGTGTGCAGTACTGAGTGCCATGATCGAGGCAACTAGTTTTCGCGTGCCTGCCTGTACTGTGCCAATACCCAGACTGCTGTTTGTATGCCAATATTGTGTGTCGTGAGGCAACTGATGTTTGGTGTCCTGTCCTCACAGATACTACGTCATCTGAGAATGCTTTCTACGAGCTGTTCACCATGCCCAGAACCCTGACCACCTCCAATCCCGAGTGTAAGAAACATCGCTACAATACACCTCATTATTGTTTATTACATGAAGGATAAGCAAGCGAACTAACAGGGAATGCGGCAGTATATAAAATGGCTTAAATTCTGAAATTCTTTGCATTCTTGCACTTGCCTCTATCTGCCCTTATGTACTGCCACATTATAGAGAGAGGGAACTGTTAGAGCCTGACTCTCGGTTAAATATTGCCACTGTGTCGTGTAGCTGACTGAGATACAGACAATTGTTCCCATACACAATGTGGCAGTGTGGAGGGGAAGCGTTCACGGGTCTTGACTGCCCGTCTGGCTGGCCAGGACAGATTGTCAGTCCTGGACAAGACACAACCAGGTCCTCTGGGTTTTATTGACATTAAGTCTCCACTTTTATGTACTCTTTGTTACCGAATTGAATGTGCATGCTGCAATATTGTATAGTTGAATGTGTGCTGAAGGTGTGTTTTAGAAGTGTACTGTGTGTGTTCTGGTTGTGTGTATGTAGCTGATAGTCAAGAACCCTCAGTAACGAGGTGACCAAGAAGGTCCAGTGTCCACCATGTGAGAGCGTCTTCTATGCCGGGACGGGTCATCTGCTCCTCATAGGAGGCTGACACTGTCAAACATCTTTGATGTCCAGCAAAAGATGTAGATATACATCTATCATATGCTATGTCCACATAATGGCACACCATGAGCCATATTATCTCATACAGGACTCTCACCATTTGTGACACTGACACTCACTGAAATGGTGATGATACATCATCAGCTTTACACATTAGCATGTCCTTATTAACATTACGTAATTATATATACACTTACTTACTGTGCTATCAGCCATGTTCGTTCAGCACGTCTGATGACAGTTACTCAGTAATTGTTTCCCTGTGTTATGTTGTGTGTGTCTTACAGTAATCTAGAGCCTGTCCCAAGACAAAGTTGTGTTTCTGTGTTATTTCTTCATTCTGGTAGTTAGCAGATGCACATTAGCCTGGTGTAGTCAGTGTATGCTAGTATTTGTGGCGAACTATTTCTCCAGGACACTGAGCAGTGTTAGAGTGGCCAAGGGCAAAGTACTGGTCTGGTCTCAGGACATGAGCCATGTGCCATCCTCGGGAGGAACGGTGAGACTTTCTCTACTCACTCCCAGTGTGACTGTGTGTAGTACAACCTATAGTTTGCAAGCTATTGTGAATGCTGTGCTGAAGGTGTGTATTCTGAACATGTATATATATTATACACTGCATCCAAATGTGATTCATCTGTGAACTGAACCCAGTGAAGAAAGCTGTCTGTGCCAGTGCTTATGCATTTGTACATACAATTGCATGCCACTGTATTTTCTCGATGTACACTGCATGTCTGTGTCACTGTCCATTCCCCGTCCCTAGCCCTGGCCATATGCAACCGCAAGCTCCAGTGTCTGTGTTCGGTACACGAGAACATGCGTGTCAAGAGCGCCGGCTGGGATGATTCGGGGGTCCTGCTCTATACCACCAGCAACCACATCAAATACGCCCTACACAACGGGTAGGGGCACCCCTCACTAAGTGTACTCTTTCTCACTGCTCCTTACGCCTTCCTTATCTCCTGTCACCTCTTTGCTTTCGTGCATCTTTGTTTTGTCTTACAGTTAAACTTTCCCTCTTTATGTTTTGCTCCCTTTTTTCTCCCTTCCACGTAGATATCCTCTCGCTCACTTCATTACCTCACTCTATTCCGTGTTTCCTGGTTTTACTGGTGCCTCCTCCTCTTTCTTTCCCCCAGTGACAATGGAATCATCAGGACCCTTGATCTGCCCATCTACATCACCCTGGTGAGAGGGACCACCGTCTACTGCCTGGACAGAGACGCAAAGACGCGGGCTCTCGTGGTCGACCCCACAGAGTACCGTTTCAAACTGGCCCTCATCAACCGCAAATATGACGAGGTATGTATATATACACACTCAGCAGTGTGAATGTTTCACCACCCGTATTGGTCGTGATGTGTGTGAGAAACAGTTGTATCTGCTGCGTGCTAGAACACCACGGCAGGTGGTGCAAGGATTCTACAGCATAAATTATTCTCTCACATCCCTTGCAATTGGTGCCATCAGAGTGATGACTATTCTTCTATTTTCCTTTTTTTTGTTATACGATGCTCGCTGCATTATACATACTACTGCAGAAGCTTGACTGCTGCAGACAAAAACTCAATCATGTGTACACGCAACCGGTTGTATGATGTATATACTGTGCTTTCTGAATGTTTTCCTTGTGTTGAATTGTAACATGTGCATGTGATGTGTTATTGCCAGGTGTTGCACATGGTGCGGAGTGCCAAGCTGGTGGGCCAGAGTATCATAGCCTATCTCCAGCAGAAAGGCTACCCCGAGGTGGCCCTCCACTTTGTCAAGGACGAGAGAACCAAGTTTGCCCTCGCCCTCGAGTGTGGCAACATTGATGTGAGCTCTCTTCCCTCCTCTTTCACTGTTTCAGACAACACTGTGTGTGTAATCCTCGTCTGTTTACTTTCTAAAGGAGGATTGACTTTTACTAAATCACACTAGGGTGTCATTACACTTTTACACTTTTGCAAGCTGGTGGGGGGTGGAGGACAAAAGACAGTCAATTCCTAGTTACCGTTGTAGAGCTTGCAAACTATGTTGTGCTCATACATTACATATGTATAATGCTATGATTACATGTGTAGAAAATACCATGTGATGCCAAGAGAAAAAAGATGGGGAGCTCTGGACAGCTGTTTCGGGCTTGTTGGCCCTCATCAGCAGAGCATAGGGATTACCGCAACTTCTCTCTCTGGCATCACGTGTTTATGTACATACATAGGTGGCTCTGGAGGCAGCCCGTGCTCTGGACGACAAGGCCTGCTGGGAGAGACTTGCTGATGCAGCACTGGCTCACGGAAACCACCAGGTACTATGTACTAGCTTTACTAGAGTTCTCCCTGTAGTGCATACACGAATGATGACAGCATGCAGTGAACAGTCCTTGAGCATGCATGTTTGCTCAGCGAGAAGGTTCAATGGCGTCTTAGGGAAGGCTCTCCATACCTTACCTCTGAAGGGCCGGTTGGAGGAAGTACAGTAGCTCAGGCATGCTCATGATAGTGCAGTGCCCCTTGGATAATGACTGTATGCATATTTGTTGTGTTGAAGATTGTGGAGATGGCCTACCAGCGCACAAAGAACTTTGAGCGACTATCGTTCCTCTATCTCATCACCGGCAACATGGAGAAGCTCAAGAAGATGACAAAAATTGGTAAAACATCTCAGGCAGCTGCGATAGTACATAAGTACATAACTGGTGGTGTTGTATGATGTTGTGTAGCTGAGATCAGGAAGGATGTGAGCAGTCAGTACCACAATGCTCTCTACACTGGAGACGTGACAGAGAGAGTTAAACTACTGAGGACTGTTGGTCAGGGTAAGTCAAAGAGAAACTGAATTACTTTCTCCTTGTTATGGATAACACCTACAACTTTGGTGAGACACAAAACTTGAGAGTATATTCTATGCCATCTGCAAGTGCATGATTGTATACAATCCTGGTATAGGGTATTTGTACACACTTCTTGTGTGTCTGCAGAGTCCCTGGCCTACCTGACAGCTGCCACTCATGACCTGACTGAGGAAGCTCAGTCCATTGCCGAGACCCTCCAGCCTACCCTGGAGAAGGTGGGTATTGTGTACTGGGTGGGCCTACATGTGTGCACACGTGGTACATACAGTGATGTTATAGACCTTGGATATGGTGGGTATTTAACCCTCGGCATGCACATGCGCAGCGAGGGTGCTTGTAGTTGCCATGTGTGTCTGTCTGTCTGTCTGTCTGTCTGTCTGTCTGTCTGTCTGTCCACAACATGTGAAATTGCTATGTTCGAGAGTTACGGCGTGAAACACGAGCGAAAAAGCCAATATGCTAATTAGAACAGGCTTGTATATACCTCGAGCAGGTCCTCTTGCTCTTGTATCTTAGGCCACAAGAAGTCACAACGATATTGTATTGCGTCAGTCTGATGTAGTGTACATATATACACGTAGCGTTGGATGTCCACGTGTGTCTAGTCAATAGAAACCTTTCCCACTGACCTACGGTTTCCTTTACCAGGTGTAAGTAATCCAAAACTGGTTCTTTTCTTACTTTCAGTTTTGTTCCATTCTGATCCCTCTCCCCCCCTCAGCTGCCAGAGGTCCACCCCAGCTCCAAGCTCCTCCTCCCTCCTCCAGCCATCAGCCACACCGTCTCTGGCTGGCCTCTGCTCACTGTCAGCAAGGGATTCTTTGAGGGTCACATGAAGATGAAAGGTGGGTACAAGATATGCTGCTTTATACTGAGAGACTGTAGTTTGTTGTGGTGTCTTGACAGAAACCGGGGGCACCTTTCATTGATGGGTAGGGTGGTTTGGTCTAGATGTATGTTGGCTACTGGAAATAGCACTTACATAAGTGTGGTGTGTGTGTGTGCAGCATCAGGGATGACAGCAGAGGAGGTGGTGGGAGATGAGTTGGAGGAACAAGGCTGGGGAGATGACGTCGACATTCTCCTGGATGATGGTATGAACTCCTGCTGTTAGAGTCTCTCCTGTGTCTCTCGTTAACATTCTGACCTCCACCTTTGGGTTTCTTGGACGTGTATACTGTAGAAGTACAAAAAGTCATAATTTGAATGACGTTCAGGCAGAGAAATGGGGAAATGCCATTTACTGCCCATCAGTTCACAATGCCATATCCTGGTATATACAATCTATGGAATTCTGAGGCAGTTATGTATGTCTATGTTACTTGCGTTGTCTGTCCTCCAGAGGACGTAGGAGGAGGAGGAGGGGGAGCTGTGAGGGAGGGAGGGGAGGAGGGAGAGGAGGGGGAGGGTGGAGGCTGGGATGTGGATGATGATCTCGATATTCCGGAGGATATTGGGGACGTGGGGCCAGCAACCTCTGAAGGGGAGGGTTACTTTGTTCCTCCCACCAAGGGATCTCCTCCCTCTCAGGTATGAAGTACAGTAGTGTGACAGTATCTTGTCCGTAAAGTTCACGGATTGTGCATAACAAGCAGAACATTATACTTTTTTGTTTGTGGTAAATCTTGTTCAAAACCCCTCCGTGTCATTTATAGCCAGTCCTCTAGTGTAAGTACTAAGAAGTAGTCTTTATTGCCTTCCTTGTCTTTCCAAAAGTGTGTACTCACAACACACTGTTTGTCCACGGCATTTGAATTTCCTCCATCATCTCCACCAATACATTTATCTAGTCTACTACTGTAGGTGTGGGCGACAAAGTCCCAGCTCCCAGGAGACAGTGTGACTGCTGGTGCCTTTGAGAGTGCCATGAGAGTGAGTCCTATGTAGAACACACTCTGACATAATGTTTCAGACTCCATTATTTGAGCCTTTGCCTGAAGCTTGTACATACGTGCCTGTGTTTGTACTATATAGTGTTTCCCGCAGCATTATAAAAACCGGGCGCTCCGCCGAGGTTGAAGAATCCCGAAAATGGGCGTGTACAATTATTGTGCATGCGTAAAATGCAACTAGCGCGGTTACACTGCGTGTGCTGCATATAGAGTAGCACTTGAAATGAGGGGATTTCCAACAGAGTGTGTAGCAAGTAATGTTTTCAGCCTGAAGCTGAGGTGATAATAATTCAGCACCCTGTTTGAATGTTACCTGCGGAAACACTGCTATATACCTTTAGAACTTTGTGTTGACATGTTTGTCACTGTGTGCAGCTTCTCACATATCAAGTTGGAGTGGTTAACTTTGAGCCCTACAAGTCGCTGTTTCTACTGACCTTCAGCCACAGTCGTACGGCCATTACGGGCATCCCTCTCCTCCCTCCCCTCCTCACCTACCCACTCAGGAACTGGTGAGTCCCTTCTGGGCAGTGGGCCATACCTTGAATCCAACCCTGTCACCCTCTGAGTTGCTTGTACCTATGTGTAATAGAATAGTTTGGCTAACAGCTCTTTGTGCAGTTCATTAACCCTCGGCACGCATGCGCAGCGAGGGTTACAGTAGTTGGTTTGTCTGTCTGTGTGTCGACGCTTATTCTTGCACTACTTCAGTGCTTTTCATGTGTAACATTGGTGTTTCAGGCAAGAAGCAGGGACAAGGAACGGCCTACCAGCCCTAGGACTGAAACTAGATTCTCTGGTCACCCGTCTCCAGGTAAAATGTGCCTTGCTTTCGTGTGTATGGTACTGCATCTCCTGTCCCATCATGTTCCCTGTGCAGGGAGCCTACCAGGCCACCACAGGAGGCAAGTTCAGTGATGCAGTGACCAAGTTCAGAGAGATACTCCTCTCCCTCTCTCTACTGGTGGTGGACAACAGGTCTGAACTGGAAGAGGTCAGAGTTCGCACCGCACAGTTTGTATGTAGCTATGTACATACATATCAGTATGTGTACAATAGCACATAAAGAAACATGCTGTCTCTGGGAGTTGGGACTTTGTCACCCACACCTACTGGACATATTAACTCTGGTGTGTATTCTTCGTCCCTCTGCCTACTTATATACCTCCTCTCTTACTGCTACACCGTCTGTTTGCTCCTGCTCAGGCCCAGCAGTTACTGACAATCTGCAGGGAGTACATCCAGGGGCTGTCCATGGAGATGGCCAGGAAGGAACTGCCAAAGGTATGTTTACGCACAATCAACCAAGTTTTTTCCTGTATTGTGTGTGACCTCTGGTGTTTGCTGTTTGTCGCAGAGCAACTTTGAGGAACAGAAGAGACAGTGTGAGGTAAGACTGGGGGTTCTCTGCTTTCAGAACTGAAATCATGCCAACCATTACATTGAAATCGCGGACACTATTCATCCATTGACTCTCTATCCAACAAAAGTAGACGCTCCAATAAGCCGCACCCTTTCTTTTTCTTACCACACTTCAGATGGCGGCCTACTTCACTCACTGTGATCTCCAGCCCATCCATCTCATCCTCACTCTTCGAACTGCTCTCAACCTCTTCTACAAGGTCTCTCTCTCTCTCTCTGTCTGTCTTACTCAATACTTATTACGACGTACTGTTTGTTTGCTAACTTATTCAGCTAAAGAATTTCAAAACTGCTGGTTCGTTTGCTCGCCGGCTCTTAGAACTTGGACCCAAGGCTGAGATAGCTGCACAGGTTGGTTGTGTGCGTGCGTGTACCTAAGCTCATTGGTTGTGTGTCTGTCTGTCTGTCTGTGTGTGTGTCTTCAGACAAGGAAGATCCTGCAGGCCTGTGACAAAAACCCAACTGATGCCCACAAACTGCTGTACGATGAACACAATCCTTTCTCCGTCTGTGGAGCCAGCCACAAACCCATCTATAGGTACGCCATTTAAATAATAATAGGCGTCCTGTGGTTTTTAGGGGTTTCATAATTTCCTGTAATTACAGGGGCAAGACGCAGGAGAAGTGTCCACTGTGTGGAGCCAGCTACATGCCTGACTACAAGGGAACAGTCTGCAAGATTTGTCTGGTTAGCTCACGTGCTTATCGGTGGCCGGGAGTGAGCCTTCACAACTCACTTATTACAAGTGCCCTATCTTATAATTTCGTGTATTTGCACTTTAATGCTTCTCTGTTTCCCCTTCCTCCATTCATGCCTGCCTCCCTTCGTCCCTCCCTCCTCCATTCCTCCTTCTCCCTCCCTCTCTCTTTTGCCTCCATTACTCTCTCTCCCTCCCACCCTTTCCCTCTCCCTTCTTTCTACGTAGGTATCAGAGATAGGGAAGGACAGTATTGGTCTGCGTATTAGTGCCATTCAATTCCGATAAACTCTTATGTATTATTGATTTCTGAACAGTGAAGATTATTGGCAGTCTTTCTATTGCGCCACTACAAATGTACATACATTGTGCTAAGATGAACTTGGTGTAATTTAATTTTCCTGGAAGTGATACAGTAATGGCGTATGACATAATGAAAAGCGCTCAAGTGCAAACCCTCGGCGCACTGTGCATGAGCGTTACTGCTAATTGATGGGTTGGGCCAAGAGTATGCATTACTCGTGGTCTCCACGCTAGTATAATAGAGGAGCCCTACAATTGCCCTCAGATTACTGGCCATTCCTATAATTATACATCTAATGCTGACTGTGAGAGGGTTCATGTGTGCAGAATAAAACTGATTTCCGATAATCACTCTCTCGAAGCACGATATCTTCTTTGATTGGGTGCCAGTTCCATAAATTATCAAACAGTTGTCAAAATTATATTACAAGACACATGAAAGAAATCTATCTTATAAGTTTTTGTACCTATTATTGTATATTTTGTGTGACCACTTTATACAAACAAAATATGTCATATATCAGTGTGTGCAATACTGACAAATATTATCTAAAATACTTTAAATCAGGCTTCTTTCTACTAAACACTGCTTGGAGGCTATGCTAATACATATCACAGAGAATGTTCCAGAAAAGGCAATAATATACGTACAGCATAATAATTATGCATGATTAGATAAGTATTGTGCGAAGTATCTGATAAGGAACTCGAAAGAACACGCCTATATAGAAGGCATAGAATCTTATATGCCGCGAGGCTGAATGCCGGAGAGTACATGTAAAATGGCAGAACGACATGCGCAGCTACAACTAATTGGAATTTGCTGTCCCGACATCTCCAGACCACAGAGGGTGGACATGAATGAGTTCAAACTGACTGAACTCATTGTGGCTGAGTCCCTTGTATGAGGCCAGCACACTCCACCGGGATCCTGTCCAGATCGGGAGTGGCCTCAATACCCAACACCTCCACCACCTCCCACTCTGTCTCGGTGATGGTACAGTTGATGTTCATACCAGTTCCCGGGAGGGCCACTGTGCCACCACAACACTGCGCGGTGTAGGCCCCAACTCTCCATGGTATGTCTCCACTGGTCTTCTCGATGGTGCAAGAGAATGTCGCAAACTCACCCTCAGCAACATCAGATACATAGGAGAAATTTCTCATCA